TGTGTGTGTGTGTGTGTGTGCAGGTGTGTATGTGTGTGTGTGTGTGTGTGTGTGTGTGTGCAGGTGTGTGTTTATGTCTGTGTTCTTCTTAGTAGCCATTAATAACATTTCTCTGTTTTTGTGAGTGTGTTTCTTGGATTTGCTAGTGAAATCGCACTATAATTTATTGAATATTAATGTTTGGTTTCAGATTCCAGGCAGATGCAAACGTCTCCGTCCTGGTCGTACGAGCAGTCGTACCCGTACCTGGGCCCGATCTCCACCCCGACGGTCCACCCGACGACCCCCATCTCACCCAGCCGCAACGCCATACACTGTGAGTATTACCATACATAAATATTACATTTGTGAACCAGTTGATTCAATAATGGCTCATTCATAAAGAGAGTCATTTACTTCATTCCTGAATGAATCGGCTGTTTGAATGAATGAGTTACTCATTAAGACATTTACTGACACCTACTGGCCATTTTAGTTTCTTATTTACAGTGTCAAAATAAAAATATATCATATTTTGGGGATTTTTTCCCCAAAAATTACAATTCTGTCACTTTCTCACCCTCATGTAGTTTCAAACCTGTGTGATTATTTTCTTTTTGCGGAACATAAAATAAGATATTTTGAAGAATATTAGTAACCAAACTGTTTTGGTCTGTCGATATTATCTAAATACCAATTCAGAGGCAGCTTCTGAAAAATAATAATAATAATGGCTGTTAGAGCCTAAAGGTTTATGTGTAATAAATGCCATGTTGAATCAAATACAATATTTCTTTCTAAATCTACCTTTTGTAATGTCTATGTGTTGCTTGATGTCTATTCTCCTGAGAAAAGACCCCAGTGATGTCATCATACGCATCTTCAGATCATCTTCAGTTCTCAGTAATGTGCAATCAAAAGTCACAGATATCAATATAAACGCAAACATTTTTCATCAAATGATCAGGAGCCTCATTTATAACCGTTGCGTCGCACAAAACCGGCCCTTAAAGAGGCGGACGCCACTAACCACGCATTGTGTGATTTATAAAAACACTTTAACCACTTTAACAGTTGAAATAAATAAAACAATGATTTAAACTCTGTTTTACATCTGATCTACACATTTAGATTAAATATGCCATTTTCATTAATGGAGTTAAGCACTTAAAACACATAAAATCATTGCCGAGAAGTTACAACATTTTTTATATTCTAATAAATAGAAATATTTGTAGTGGATGCGCTGCTTTTGAACACTTTTCCTGTGTTTTAATGTTTTAATACAGCGAGGATTGCTTAGCGCATGATAACAGCAGAACTCATGGTCTGAGAAAATATTTATACACAAATTATGATCAATAATGCAATAAAGCAATTAAAAATACTATTTGGCCAGTGGAAACGATTGAGAAAAACATTCTCTGAAATGTATTTTATACTATTTGATTTATTTATTCAAAAACAAGGAAAGGATCGGCTACTAAATGATTTTTAGCAATGTAATGTGACGCACGTCCGTATCTCATATTTTCCTAATGTCTTGTAACGTTAAACATGGTATCACGTGGATGAATATGCAAATGATATGCAAATGAGGACATGCATAGTAAATCTAGGCTCCATATATATGGTTATTTCGGGGAGGAGACGCATGTGGGATTTATAAAGGGAATATTGCGCAGGTTCTGGCGGACGCACGGTTTTATAAGACTTTACGCCATGTACACTTTTAGTAATGATCATACACACAGTTTTATAAATGAGACCCCAGAGCTGCTCCGCATTCACTACCGGACGACACCTAGCGACTCATTGGTGTGTTATATACAGTAGATATATACACTAGATGTCGCCTGGAACGAATGTTCGTTGAACGGAAATAAAATCACCATAAATCGTCATGAATGCAATTTTCTAGTTTTTTTTGTTCGTTCCAACGGTCAGACATGTATTTATCATTGAGTCCAGAGAAAATTTAAAAAAAAATTTTTTATTTATTTTTAAACATTCTTCCTAGTTCAGATTTCGTTCGTGTGAACATCCATACGCTAGCCTGGATGCCAGCCCGAACCCCGCACACAACATTTTTTGGTCGGGAAGTTCAGTCTGGACTCGATCCATTGATCGATTCAGAAATCGTAGGGCCAATCAAATTGCCAGGGCGGGCTTTATACGATGATGGACAGATGATCTGCAGGGACGTAATCATCACGTTATCAAAGAGCTCTTGGGTTGAACTGGTTTCCCTCAGAGATGGCCGCCGCTGGAGAACTGAGATGTAGAGATCCCGCTATCGCGTCTGTTGTAAAAGAAATCGACAGCGCATTCATTTTAAAAGACGAACAGAGAACTGCAATCAAGGCATTTGTCGATCGGAAAGATGTGTTTGCCGTCCTTCCTACGGGATTCGGCTAAAGTTTAATTTATCAGCTGGCTCCGATGGTCGCTAAGGGTTGTGGGATGTGGTCGGTGTGGTTTCTCCTTTGGTCGCACTCATGGAGGACCAAGTAAAAGAAGCAACACTCATTATTTTACTACTTCTTCCAGCGTGTGTAGTTGAGTTCTGTTGACAATTATGCGTAGCTCAACATACGTCACTTACTGCGTTGCTCTCATTGGTTGTAGGTCTATCCAATTGAGTGCAGAGTTGTTGTTTTTTCCTGGTTCGGTTAAGACACGCCTCATAATCAAAGCCCTATGGAGCCATATCAGACTCACAGTCTGACTAGAATATGAGTATGACGAAGTCAGGCTATCCATACGCAGCACAAAAGTCCGAAAATCCATGAATTCGAAGTAAAGGCGGAGATAGCAGCGTTACCTAGCTACTTCCTATGACAAGACCCCTGTTCCAAGATGGCGGCGGTTTTGACGCATGCTTAGAACCCTAAGGCGACATCTAGTGTGTATATCTATGGGTGTGTTAAACATAGCATCTGAGCACATGTTCTGTTTCCCTGCAGGTCCCGATCTGACGGCGTTCACCGATCCTCGTGTCGGCCTGGATCGCTCCTTCCCCTCGCTCCCCTCTCTACCGGACGGGCGTTTCTCGGACCCGCGCGTGCCGTACCCGACCGGGCCGTTCACCTACACCCCCACCCCCGTCACCAACGCCATCGGCATCAGCATGTCGGCCATGACGAGCCCCGCGGGACGCTACCACACGTACCTCCCGCCGGCGTACCCCGCGGGCTCCTCGCAGGCTCAGGCGGGACCGTTCCAGGCCGGCTCGTCCCCGTATCACCTGTACTACAGCAGCGCCGCGGGATCCTACCAGTTCTCCATGATGCCGGGAGGAGAGCGTTCGCCACCGCGGATCTTACCGCCGTGCACCAACGCCTCCACAGGCTCCGCCCTCCTGCACCCGTCGCTGCCCAATCAGAGCGAAGGCGTGGGCGAGGCCGAGGGAAGCCACAGTAGTTCGCCGACTAGCATGTCGGTCGAAGCCGTCTGGAGGCCGTATTGACATGTAACAAAAGTTCTTTAGATGTTACTCTGAGGGGTTCGACAGATATCGAGGGGAGCTCTTCACCAGCATGTCGGTCTGGAGGCCGTGTTGACGTTTGAAGGACAGTCGCTTTGACCAATAGGACGCGGGCAGCTGAACGACGAGGTTTCTGATTGGAACATTTGACTCAAAGGACGGATTTTATCACAGCACAGCATGAGACTCGCTTGTTTGTTTGTTTGTTTGTTTTTAAAGTGGATAGTTTGTATTATTATTATTATTATTAAAATTATTGTTGTTGTTATTATTATTACTGTTGTTCGTCTCATCATCACTGTACGTTTATCAACCGTCCAGCAAACTGCCTCTGTGTTTCATGTCAAAGAAAACCTCCCCATATTACTCCAGAAACACACTCTACGCAAGTGTTTAAATGCATCTCGCTAAAGAATAAAGAAAATATCATTTTCAGCTAAATCTTATAGGTCGCAAAACTACTTTGCATTAAAAAAAAAGATAAAATAAGTATACATTTTTTTTTTTTGTACTGTAATGATTACTTGTTATGTTTGCTTTTTGACAATAATTAAATATTTAAATAAATATGGGTTAGGTTAACGGACACTTAAATAAAAATAGTATCATCTGATACTCAGTTTTCCATTCAGGAAGCTGATGTAAACATGCTAAATAACTTTATGCTATATGCATAATGTCATAAATTAAAATATTTAATAAAATAGTCATAATGCATTTTATGTTTTGTACTGGTTGCTTATTCACTGTAAAAAAAAAAGTTGCTGCCTTAAATTTTTAAGTTCAATCAACTAAAATGACCTTAAACTGAGTTGAAATTTTAAATTGCTTAACTTATTTTGTTGAGTTAAAGCAATGTAAAAACTTATTGATCATATTTTTTTTTTTACAGTGTTGTTTTATTTCTACTTTTTGACAATAAGAATGAAATATTGAAGTAATTCAAATATTGGTTCAGACACTAGATATAAAATAACATCAGCAAACAATATTGATCTCTATTTAATATTCCACTCAGGTAGATGATATATACATGTCAACTTTTCTTTAAACTCCACCGTAACTGTAGAAAAATGGCGATAACGTCCAATGCATTGCATTCTGACACATTTCCTGTAATGATGCATGAAATTGATCATGCGTTTGCATTCATAGACTTGCGTCGGGTGTGTTTGGGGTCTAAGATCCGCTCATGACTGGACTGATTAAAGTCACTGGCTGAACTGGTCGACAGACGGCCAGAAAGTTTCCCGCTCCATCTCCATCTCCACGCCTAAGAGTTTAAACAGACTTGTGGCTCTTCACATCTCCAGGTTTCCGAGACGTCTCCCGGTCACTGGCTTCCACGCTCGTTCTCTCCGGGAGATTTACAGTCTCTGCGAGTCGCCCTTCCCGACTGATGCGACGCTTCGACTGTCGGCTGGATCACAACATGATTTCTTATGTAAATAGATTGTAAATTACTTCAGCGGTTTGAGACACGACACGGTTCTCAACTTCCACAATTGTGAAACATGCAAAACCTTCTGGAATGCAGCTTATTTTTTTCCTTTTTGGCCCTTTTCAACATTTCTTTGGAGAATATATCACTTTGTTGTGAAGAAGCTTATTTCTATACAGTGCTTGGTGTCTTTATTACTGCGTTCAGTGTGTGTGTCGTTTCAAATCACCTCAAACACTATCATGATGATTCATATAGCATAACTTGCACCAAAATATTCCAAAAAATGTGGTAATACCATAGTATTTTCACAGCAGATTTTGCACAGACAAGCCCTCATGTTTCCATAAGTAAATGTTAAAATCTAGTTTTCTAAAATCTTAGTATTTTTTCATTATTATTATTATTATTATCTGAACAGTTTTAGATGGTATTAAAGCACTCAAACTTTTTGCTTCAATAACTGTCAATGTTGCAGAATTATTAAATCAATAACCGTGTCAATGCTGAAAAGTTAGTGTCAATATCCAGCTCAATTCAGATTTTGTTTATATTCTTATTAATTAATATTAATTGTCTTTTAAATAATGAGTATATAGGGAGCAGAGGTGTACAGCCTACCTGAAAACCATACTTGAGTAAAAGTACAGATACATCACAATGAAAAGGACTCAAGTCCCAGAATAAAATACATATTTGAGCTGTTAAGCCTGAAAGCATTGCACTAACATATCTTAAAATATGTCAGTGCCATTGTTTTGTCACAAGATGCACATGTTTTTGCATGTTTATAAAAGCTTCTTAAATGTCCTATAATTGAACTAAGGCTTGAGTCTGTGAAACCGGGCCATAGAGGATCTGATTTGGTCAGAACTGAATATTTTACTCATATTGAATATAGGCTCAAAAATGCAATATTCTTCAACGCCTTAAGAGTCGGACTTGACGAGTATTCCCTTAACACTAGAAGTGCCACAAGCGGCCATTTTGACCACTAGATTACAAACTCTATATCTATATAAATACCCAATTGAGAGATTAATGCATTCATTGTATTAGGATATCTTTTAAAAACAAAACAACACCAAACTGTACATTTCAACAAGTTTAATTATACATTTATAAATAATAATATCATTAGTAGCCTACTGTAATTATCGCATATTCACAACAGATAGGCTATATTTCCATATCCATTCAACATAACTCAGAACAATTTAATAACAACTAAAAGTATCTTATTAAGATATTCTGAAGACCGTGCGGTCAATATGACCTTCTATGGCCGAAATAGGTAAATATGTTTATTTGTATTTTTTGTTTTTTTGCCTTGTGTGTAATCTATATGAAAAACATTTTAAATGAAAATACAGACACTTTTAGGAAAAGTCAGGTATACCAGCAGGATTTTATTTATTTTTTCAACAAAGTTAAGATATAAAATTCAAAACGGTCAAAATGACCGTCATGGCCGTTCTAGTAAACGCAGTCAGTTCTGTTTTAAGTGAACTAGAAAGAAAACGCACGTGTAACAGTATATTAGATACGTGCGTCAGGTCTTAAAGTGACAGCAGCCTAATAACCCTGCTGCGAAATTATTATGAGAGGATATTTAAAATATCTATATGGCAGTTTTTCCCATGGTATCGATTTCGAAATTTTGGCCAGTGAAAATGCACTGGCTAGTAACTTTAATAAAAAAAAGTTAATGTCAAGACCTGGTCACATGATAATAACAACATGGCGAATGCAAATGTAGTACGTCCAGATTACATTCATTCTACACATACTCATCTCATACTAGAACTGTATATACTTTTTTAGCGGTTGCGACGTAATCACTAATTAAAATACCTACGCAAACTTGCGATTTCAAAGTGTGTAATACTTAATACACAGCTTATAGCGAAGGGGGCGGGGCATCAGACTCTGATGCTGAATGACAAAACAACCTTATAAAAGTCATACAAGTGCATAAGTACACAGTGTATAAGTGCATAGAGTGTCATAGGCAGGGGCGGCCTTTTTCAATTGAAACGGGCCCCGCCCTCCAAGGGGGCCCCAACAGACCAGCAAAATCCCATTCATTTTCTCCGTAGGATATTGATTTTCAGCCATGATGTCTAAACCATTCAAGGTAGATTGACCACGAGCTACGAGGTTGTGAAATGAAAGTTTCTGCTCCTTTAAAAGCCACACGCTACAAAATCAACCTTGTTATTTGCAAAACACTGATGTCTCTGATTGGTCGTACTCGCGGTTACCATGGCGACGTTTACCACTCCCGCGAACGGCTTAAGCGATCTGAAGTATAATATCGGTAGTTTATGTATTTACAACTTTGCCTTTTTTGCCGTTAGGTTAAAATGTTATTTTGAGCAGAAAAATTATTTTAAGAGGAAATGAAACGTACATATGCCAGTGGTGCTGAAAAACTAAAGATATCGGACAACAAAAGAAAAGCTTTATTCAGTCTACCAAAAGTGAAGTTACCCTGCGTGAAAGGGCGAGGCTTATTCAAACGTAAAACGCTGTATAACAAACTGTATAGTTTTAATCAAATAAGGTTGTATTATTTCTATGTTGAGCTGCCTGTTCATGAAGCTGAAAGTGCACGTAATAAAATAATATACCATTGATGCAAACCAACAGGAATCCTTGCTTTTTCTGCTCTATTATGTTTATGTTTTATGTGGGTAGGGCCCCATATTAGTTATTGAAACGGGCCCCCAGATGCTTAAGGCCGCCACTGGTCATAGGGACACAGCTCGTGTCATCTTATGCTGATATAACAGGAACTCTTCAGTGTTTATCGCCGCCTGTCTCTCGTCTCTATTCTCGACCCACAAAGAATTTACACAGAGCATCAGACGAGTCTCGACCTGCAGATATTACACAGATAAACGACTCTCTCTCTCTCTCTCTTACAGTGTTCCTTCGCCTCTATTTGTGCTGCCCAGAATGAGCCACGAGCAAACACACGAGACAGAAGCGCAGGAGACGGGCTAAATAAAGGCCGGTCTGTGTGTCGGACACTGGCGGCCGGGCCGAGGCTATAACTGTGGTCTAAGAGTCGAGCCAAGGCCTATAAAATCAAATCGCCTTTATAAAAAGAGCTCAGGGTGTGAGAGCAGCGTGTCAGCACCACACACACACACACACACACACACACACACCGCCGGCGCGTCTAGTGTGCGCGAGAAATACTTGGCAGAATGTGGTGAAAAATGAGGCTATTTCGAGTAATTGGAGCCTGTCTGATGCTTTCTGTGATCCGGTGATATACTTGATTCTTTTGGAAAGAAAGTCCAAAGAAAATATATTAGAAACCATTCTAGCGCAAAACAACTGTTGTGTAAATATGTGCCATAAATTAAAGAAATTAATAAAATATTCATAGCGCGTTTTCATTATCTCTTGATTATTCCTTGTTTTATTTCTGCTTTTTGACAATGATTAAATATTTTAATAGCCTCAGTTATCAGACACTTTAAATAAAAATAATATCAGTTGATTTAGGTAGCATAGATATGCTATAGTTGCAGTATGTAGCATAAATATGCAAAAGAATCAATTAATTAAAATAGTTTTTTAATTGTAGCTTATCTAATGATTACTAATTGTTTTATTTCTGCTTTTTGATAATAAAAAAAATATATAATTAATATTGTTATAATTAATAATATAAATAAATATTGGTTCAGTTATCACCCAGTTCATAAAAAATATAACTTTTGGGAAACACAAAGAGTTCACATAAAAATCTGAAAGAAATGGAGAATGACCAAGTTTTAGGAATTAAATCAAAAGAAAACTAAAGAAATATATATATATATATATATATATATCTTCATTTGCAGTGCACGGCCTCTGTAATAGTTTAAATAAACTTTAAATACAAATATAGATCATAAACTGCATATTTGTATTCTGTAGGGTGAAAACAATTTTTGCACTAGAAAACATTTTTGTTTTAAAATATATTTAATTTATACGTATGTAACAAAATCATCATGTTATATTGTATGCAACTGCAACAATATAACACAGTGGTTATAATATTAATATAGATTTTATTTGACATGTACAAATTTCATTAAATTGTTTTAAAACGCACATTTCATTATATTTTAAGGAAAAGTTGAAGAATGACCTAATTGTTTCTTAAAACTCGCTTTTGAGGAATAAAGTTAGTGACAAACGGGTCACTTGTTGTTATCAGTAACAATAAAATGCTCAGATCACGTGAAATGTTTGAGATCTTTTGCTTCAAATAGAGAAACTTTTATCATTTTGCAAAGCTGATTTTGTGTTTTCAAGTCCAGTCTCTATTTTATTATAAAAATGCCCAAAATGTCCTTGGGGTCAGAGGTCACCCTCAGGCCATTCATCACGCGTGTCATCGTCCCGGACCGGCCGAGGATCGATATGAAGTGCCATCAACCCTGACAACTCATCCATACCCACAATATTCAGCGCCTGTCACTTCACATCGTGATTAATCACAAATGCAAATGATGAATAGCGGGCAATTAATCGACATCAACCATTAATCTAGATGCTGACATATTGAAGGACAGGAGTGACAGAGGAAGTTTTGCATCTTATGAATAAATTAGACTGGAATATCAACTTTAATTTATTTTAGTTTTTCTAGATATTTGGATATCATAATCAGAATCATCCATGGAATTTGCAGGAGATGGCACTGCCTCTCTCAATATTATAGGCTAACTGCAAAAACATTGTGGCACAATACATTTCTTTTTGCATATGAAATAATCTCTATGATAATGATGATATGTGCTGTAATAGATTTCAATATGTGATAAATTAGTTTTAAATTATCTACACAATCTTAGTAGACCTACACAATCTTTTTTTTGGATAAAGTATGTGCTAAACTAGACTGCAGCAGGGACTTTTACATTTGTTTTGGGCAATCTACCTGAATATATTCTTACAGACTATTTATTTAGTTAGACTGTTCATATCATAAATATTTTACGTTCTTTATTTCAGTACTGCCAAAAATAAATACGAAACAGTAAAATAATAATAATAAATAATATTAGCAATAAAATAAAATACGAAACAGTAGAGACTTTACATTTGTCGGGTGTTTACGCTAACACGCTCATTTGCGTCATCACGCAACGTGCTAACGCAATTCCGTTACGCGCGAAATTTTGAGTTGCGTTCCCAGAACAAAACAATCAATCGTGTCAGAACCTTTTTTTACAGTCTATGGTCAGAACAGAAGAGCCGCCGCAGATCCCGCTTTATACAACATATCAATTAATTAAAATAATTAACAATATTATTATAGTTTAAGATTTTCATAGTTTTTTTAATTGTAGCTCTCTAATGATTACTCAGTGTTTTATTTAATCTTTTTGACACTACTTACGTATTTAAATAATTAAAATAAAATATATATTTACTTGTTTTACTCCTGCTTTTTTAAAATATGACAGAAATAAATACGAAACAGTAGAGACTTTACATTTGTAGGGTGTTTACGCCAACACGCTCATTGCGTCATCACGCAACGTGGTGACGCAATTCCGTTACGCGGGAAATTTTGATCGTTGCGTTCGGAACAAAACAATCGTGTCAGAAAAGAAGTTCCCGCTTCACACGTCAATACTCGACCGAAACGATCACGATGGCGGAGTTGGGCTGCTACTCTCCCAGCTTTAAAAAACCGTGTGATGTTCTTCGGATGAGACGGAACCGGGCGCGGAGCGAAGGGCCTGAACGGAGGACCTCGAGTCCGGTCGCCTCGGTGCCCGGAGTCCGCCCGTTCTCACCGGGGCCGCTGTTAAACGCTCCGGGCCGGTCGCAAGGCGGCGTGAAGCGCAGGAATCCGTTCGCGAACATTGAGAACACGTACAACAGTCCTAAGAAACGGGCTTTATCGCAGACCGACGGCGAAAAGGCGGCAGTTGTTCCGGTTCTGGACGGGAAACTCAAAGAGCGTCCAAACGCGGGAGCTTCACGTAGAGAAGAACTGCTCAATACAGACCGACGGAAACAACACGAGATAACGGTACAGTACGGCACACTTCTGCGCTCGTTTCATGTTACCATTATTATTATATACCATAAAATATATGAAGACTTAAGATGCAAAAGCCTCAAAGTCCGTCTAAAGTTTTTGTTTAATATTAACACTTTTTATCAGGCTCCTATGTTTATATGACGCTTCAATGTACGTGTACCATGATACACATGTATATGTTGCATATATATTGTTCATGTATTGCTATGATTTATAACCATTAATAATAATAATGTTATATTTTAACCGTACTTTTAAAATGTTTAGCCTAATTTTTTATGTTAAAGTTAGTTTTTTATATTAAATTATATTATTTATAATGTAATATTTATAATTTATGTATTTATTAAAATGCTTTTTATTTTTTTGTACCATTTATCAAATTGTTTATGATATTTTTGTTTTTATAGTGTTTTTTATTTTAAATTTATAGTTTTACTATTTGTTTATTTATAGTTAAAAAATTATTGGTTTAATGGGGTTGTGACATGGTTAATACATATTATTAATAATGATAAAATTGATCAAGTTCTTCTCTATTTGATTTCATTTGGGATCATGTAAGCATGCACATTTCTAAATCAGAGCTTATTATGAAAACGGGTAGAACAGTAGATGATGTGTATATTAACATCATAAGAGCATAAGTGCATGATTCTGGACAATTTGAGAATCACAAATTTTTATTTCAAATGGAGATCATGATTCTGAATATACGACTAAACAAATTAACATGTAATTTACTAGTAGAGGTTTACTAGTAATTTACTAGAGGTGTAATTTACAAAATGTTAAATACCGCAGTCTATTTAAAACATTTAATTAATTCGACTTATTAAAAAAATCTGAGTGAATGATTCAATGACTCACTCATACATGCTTCATTACTGGATGAATCAGCATTTTTGAACGAATGAATGATTCAATGACTCACTCATACATGCTTCATTACTGGATGAATCAGCGTTTTTGAACGAATGAATGATTCAATAATACACTCATACATGCTTCATTACTGGATGAATCAGCGTTTTTGAACGAATGAATGATTCAATAATACACTCATACATGCTTCATTACTGGATGAATCAGCGTTTTTGAACGAATGAATGATTCAATGACTCACTCATACATGCTTCATTACTGGATGAATCAGCGTTTTTGAACGAATGAATGATTCAATAATACACTCATACATGCTTCATTACTGGATGAATCAGCGTTTTTGAACGAATGAATGATTCAATGACTCACTCATACATGCTTCATTACTGGATGAATCAGCGTTTTTGAACGAATGAATGATTCAATGACTCACTCATACATGCTTCATTACTGGATGAATCAGCGTTTTTGAACGAATGAATGATTCAATAATACACTCATACATGCTTCATTACTGGATGAATCAGCGTTTTTGAACGAATGAATGATTCAATGACTCACTCATACATGCTTCATTACTGGATGAATCAGCGTTTTTGAACGAATGAATGATTCAATTACAAACACATTTTTAACAGTCACTTGTCGCCACCTACTGGTGTAACGATTTAATACGATCTTTATTTGAAGCGTCAAGTTACGTTCAAACGGTGATTTGCTCTATTTTGATCGCTACCGTTTAATCGCTATCAGTGTTTATATCCGATCTATACCGTAACAACACATGCCGACGGCTCTCTCTGGGTCAGAACACGGATCTAAGTGTTCGCTGTGGCCGAATCGCTGACGTTTGGGAATGAGATTGGGTGGGTGTGTTTGAATCGATTAAACGATTAATCGTGCAGCTCTAATCATCATAATTGGCCGTTCGCAAAGACCCGCCCCCTTTAGTTACTGTTGCTACGTCCGACAAGCCACGCCATATCATGTTCTCACGCAGAAAAGTTTCAAACTTGGTCATTTTTTTTAAAGAAACTTTAACGATAAATACCGTTTTGTGGCTGTTTAATGTGTCTGACAGATCGCTCGGTTAAAGCTGCTCGTGAACCGATCATCTCTTCCTTCTAGTTCATTGAAACAGATTTTATTGGATTGTCCTGGACTTAATACAAGCAGAATGCTCTTTTATGAAGTTACGTCACTTAAGGACATATTTAATAAGATTATGCACTGAAACGGTTTTGGATTTTTTTTTATCATATGTTAACTTAAAAAATCTTGTATAATATGACTTGCTGTTTTTGTATTTGTTTTTATTGTATTTATATATGATATTTGTATTTTTGTAATTCAATTTTTGCCATGAAAATAGCTTTGAATGCTGACATGGCTTTAACCCTCTGGGGACGGATTGGGCGGTACCGCCAAAAGTGGCATACTTTTACAAATGTGTAATTATCTTAACTATTAATGATAAAGAGCTGCGGTCTTTTTTACCGTCTTCCTCAGATTCCGCTGAAAACAGTGATACCCGGCTTGTAAATATACACACTTCCTTGTTGCGCAATACCACTATGTAAAAGGCCAATGAAATCGATGTTGTTTGGCAGATTCCGCGAACAACAACCAATGGAAAAATTGCCGATGGAGAAATGTTTTTCTTACCCAATCAGAGGAAGGTTACCATGACGTTTCTAGCAAATCAGAGGACTCTGTAGCCTTGCAAGGGGTGGTACTATATAGTTAGGGATATGACGCAAACAGCGTTGAATGGAGAGAAGGAGAGAGAGCGAACGGAGGCTTACGGAGCGGATTATCAGAGATTTATATGAGAGAGAGAGAGAACAATTATAATATATATATATATATATATACACATACAATTATAGCATTATTTATTGTTTTAGCACTTTTATGATAGCAAGCAGTAAACGATTTACGGTGGAACAAGCTCTGGAACAATTACTGGAGAGTGACGAGGAGAAAGCATTGATTAGAAAATTCTAAGCATTCCTAAGAAAAACGCCTAGGACTATTTGTAAATAAAGTTACATTTTTCATTGTTCTTTACACATTTTATTTAACAATTACACATGTCTGTCAAGCAAAGGCTTTGACAAATATATTTTTTGTTCAAAAACTGTTCACTATTGTTGTGTGATGTGTGATTTTCAGAAATAAATGACAAAAATCTAATTTCCGTTTTTGAAATTCTCTAGTTTATGGTACATTTTTCACTCATACTTCCTTTATAAACACATTACATGCATGATTATGTTATCTCAGGGTCTTCTGAATCCATAGATACCAAACACATAGTGTTCCATCTCCATTACATATGGTTATAAGGCCAAATGTAAAAATAGAGAAAACGGACCAAAAAGGGCTTAGTCCCCAGAGGGTTAAATAAAATAATCTGAATCTAGTTCATTTATAGCATCAAATAAACATGAATGAACATCAGAAGGAATGTTGTTTTAACCGCGGAAAGACGTCAGTACTCACTGTTTCTCAAGTTCAAATCCTCCAACGTTACTCTACTAACTCTCCTGACTGCTTTGTTTGACAAAAATGGCGGATTATGATTGGTCAGATCGCCTGTCAATCAAACTCCCTGTGAAGTTCATATCGTGATTTTCCTCTGTTTCTGCAGATCATTCCCCTCTCTGAAGATGACTGTGTGTTCGAGGAGGAGAGATCCACTCCAGTGTTGAAGGTTTCTGACTGATGACAGCTGACGCTTGCTCATGATTCCTCAGTCATGGTGTGTGTGTGTGTGTTCATGACGTGTGTGTGTGTGTGTGTGTGTCTCTAGAGTCCAGAGTCGGTCTGCCCCGCGGCTCCAGCTGAAGTGTGTGTGGAGTTCCCGGCCGACTGGTCCCTGAAGACCCGCGTGTTGTTCACGTCTCCTCAGTCGTTCTCCTGGGCTGAGCATGTGAAGGCGCAGGAGGAGGCGCAGGGCTTGAGCGCGCACTGCAGGGCCCAGTTCACCAGCGCTCCGGCTCACATACCAGTACGACACCACCACTGAGCTTCAGCCTGCCAGTGCAGCAGTCATAGCGCTGGGCACACATGCATACTGATTTTTTAGAAACAATTATAAATATATATATACATGGAAATATTCCTTAAATGTATACATGCATATGTATATTTATATATACAAAATAATAATACACAGTACACACACATATATTATGTAAACATTAGAGGTGGGCATAGATTAATTTTTTTAATCTAGATTAATATTGAAATTAATCTAGATTAATCTAGATTAAAATGGCTCATTTGAATTCTCCCGAAGGCATTCAGAATATGTGTGCTACCCAAATAATGACTAAAAGTAAGTCTTTGAGAATAGTTTGCCTCGCGTAGGGATGTGCATTTCTGCCAAAAATGCCATTCGACAATCGAGGAGCAAAAGTCGAATATCGTAAAAAAACAAACAATAAAAACAATAAAAACCCAATGACAGAAAGGGAGGCCAATTTCATCTTTAGCGATTTGTCATCAAACAAACTGTTTATTAATTGAACAAGTAACATGTTTTCGTCCTTTTTTTAACATAGTAGGCTAATTGGAAGAAGAAGAAAAAACAATACGCACGACAGTCCGTTTTTGCATCGCCAATGCTCGTTAGATCAAAAAATAATGTCATCATATGTCATAAGAATTTAATGTGAACCTGCCTTGTTACTGCAATAGCCTCATTTTTAAACAAATTAGTTTCAATCAATGTAAACTATTCGTGTGATTATGCCACTGCGCAATACACGCGCAATACACACACATGTATTACCTGAATGAAATGAAATCGAATGTATCGTCCTGTGGAATCATTCATTCACAGACAGCTTACGAAGATGTTCAACTAATAAAGATCTTCATCGCTGGCAAAAATATGATGCATTTGCAGATTTGCATTCACTAGACTAGACTGTAGATCGGCCACTTCTTCCAACGCTCTTGATGCTCTTAAATCTTCCTGTTTCGACTCCGAGTGTGAATTGAAAGCGCTTCAGACGATTCAGTGCGCGAGGAACTGAACAGATCAACTGATTCGCCAACCGATTTAGACAGATCATCTGACAACTTGTTTGATGAAGTCTTTGAACAGAATCGACTCAAAAGAGTGATTCATTTGTAAATGAGCATCGCTCATGCCCATACAAGGACACAGCGCGCTTGGAATAAACTCATTTAACAACGTATTGCATTAAAATAAAGTAACGAGAGGAACGTCGCCCAACGTAACAAAGTAAAAGTAAACCTTGTGTCCCTGACAGGAAAATACCCTACTGCGCGATCTGTGACAGTAGGCGCGGCGTCATACTACACATTAGAATTGCGCGAAAATATAACGATATTCGAAAAAGCTATTTATGATCCCAACCCAACTTTGATTAACGGCGATATTTTTTTTATCGCCCGATAAGAGTCTCACGTTAACGCAGCACGTTAACGCCGATAACGGCCCAGCACTAGTAAACATAAACCTTTATTTTGCATGTGATTAATCGTTGCCTAGCACTATTTTTTATATTAAAGAAAGAATATTAAATTGCTATATTATATTATTATTAATGTTATTTTTTATAATTATTATATACAAAACTTAGCTTTATATATAAAAAAATAAGTTTTTTAGTTTTAATGTGTGATTTCATATACTTTTAGTGTATAGTATATAGTAGTTTTTAAATATTTTACATTTTTCTTGATCTTTAAATAATAATAATTAATTGAAACATTATTTTTAATTAATTTTGTTTTTTTTTAATTATTTTTATATTTAAAATGTTATAAACTTTGACCTTGACCTTAAATAATTTTTATCTTTATTTTAAATAATGAAATGTAGATGTAAATCACATAATAAATGTAAATGTAGTTTTTATGACTAATATTTGTTATAAGAAACCTTTTTTATAGATTTATTTCATTTTAATGTATGATGTACAGTATGTAAATACGGTTTAGTATTATTTAAATTTAATAAATATTCATTCATTTAATTATTGTATATATATATATATATATATATATATATATATATATTTAAATATTTTATTAATATTTAATATAAAAATATTTATTCTATATTTAAAATATTTTATGTTTTTTTATACTTTTAATGTGTGATTTCATTTAGTTTAATATTTAGTTTTATTTTAAAAATGAAAATATGAATTATCTTTATATATATATATATATATACAAGATTTTTAATGTGATTTTTATATAGTTTTAATATATTTATCTTTTTAAGTAGTTACTCTATTTATAGTTTTTATTTAGCTTTTCAAGAGTGCACCTTTAATACAGTCCAGTAAAAATAAATAAAGCTCATCTATAAAATGCTAATCTGCATTGTGTGTGTGTGTGTTGCAGGACCCCCGGGGGTGTGTGGAGCTGCGCTGTGGTTTCCAGCAGTGTCTTCAGTTCTGGCAGCACCCGTCGATGCCCTGGCTCTCTCTCTTCCCACGGATTGGTGCAGAGCGCAAGTTCTCTGGCAAGTGTGTGCCGTGGGCGCAGGACTCAGCGCTGCAGCAGAGCCTGATGAGCGACTGGTAAGAGAGGAGAGTGTGTGTGTGTGTGTGACCAAGGCAGCTCTGGCATAAAGTCAATAACACTTCTACAAATGACTTGGTTTCTTTAGTTATTGAGGTAAACATGCCTAAATTACTGAATAAAGGTACCGTTGTGGTGCCGGTATCGGTGAAAATGTGAACGGTACACAACCTTAGTTTGAATTTCAAAGCGTCTGCCACATGCTAGGGCGTGACGATATGGACATAATTGATATCACGATATATTTCTTAATTTCGGTCGATAGGATATAACACACACACACACACACACACACACACACACACACACACACACACACACACACACACACACCTGTGAGCGCATTACATTAGTGTTACATTAGGGTTTCTCCCTCAGTTCTGCTTCAAGCTCTTGATTGTGGCGTTTCTTTGTTGTTTATAATCCAGTGTTCCCGTAATTCTTTTCTTTTATGGGTTTAATGAAGAACTCTGTCTCGTCTTCTGTCCAAAAATACCACATCATCTTTAGAGAATGATCGACTTATGCGTACGTCAGGTGACTGTAAATGTTTCCATTGCAGTTTTGCGAAATATTCCTTTTTCGAATTGCCTGAAAAACCACCTCATGCGAACGTAAACTTTTTTTATGATATATGGGTGTTTTTTAGGTTTTTTTTTTTGCGAAATTGACGTGTTTCCATTCGGAGTATTTTCAATTCGCAATTTCAATTCACCCAATTTGAAAGGTAATGGAAAATATTATCAGCAGCCCTCTAGATTCTGGCGTGTGTGATGTGACTGAATATGTTATGCTGACTGGTAGGGGTGTAACGGTACATGTATTCGTATTGAACCGTTTCGGTTCGAGGCTTCCGGTTCGGTACGCATTCAAACCGAACGATTCCTTGGACCATTTTTCCTACCGACAAAATTCGCGCTGGCGCGATCACCACAACGTTGCGCAACATCAAATGGCAAGCGTAAAGAAAGCGGAACGAAACTGCGCTACTCATTATGTGCTTCACGGATCGTTTATCAGTTCGGACCAGCAACATCTGTGCAGCGCGAGCCGATCTCGATCAAGCGACACTGTTACTACACAGCGCTAAGAGATCCAGTGAAGAAAACATTTGAATTCTCCACTGAAGTAATAACATCGCTGCGAGATCTAGTGAGAAGCATTCACATGTCTCCGTTATTAACCGTGGATCTAGATCAAACAGCGCTGACGTGGACACCAGGAGAAATATTGTGCCGTGAATGAACTAAGTTAGTAGCTAATACTTTACGTCCACAGACCAGCAACATTCACCATAACTGTAACCAGTTTGGCTGGAATAGTAAAATGCTTTCAAGTACTTCACACATCTTTTTCCAGCACTTCAAAACTCAAATATTATATAAATAAATATATGAAGAGTTCAGATGCAAAAGCCTCTAAGTGCCATTTGAAATTTTCTTCTAGAATGATCATTTTTATGAAGCTTGTATATTTAAGTTCAGTAATTTCACTCAAATGACAATTAATAGTAGGGGTGTGACGAGACGCTTATCTCACGAGACGAGACTAGACACGAGATTGGGTTCACGAGAACGAGACGAGACGAGATTTTTGCACAATTTTTCAGAAATCCTCAATGACAAAATTCATGGCTGGAAAAATAGTATGCAGGTGCATTTTTCAATGTTTTAACTAATAATCTTCTAATGCATGTCATTTCAGGTCTACTTTATGAGTATGAATTATCAAATGCATTGAAAGAAAACAATATTCAAGCACTGTAAAAGGTTTTTATTGACTGGCTTTTCTCCTGTATAATTTCACATTAGTCTCTTCAGACCTTACTGTACATTTAAGAGCTTTCAGAACTTCTGATTGAGGCTGTGTGTGACCTCCTAACTGAACTCCTTTTAACACACATTTAACAGAGAAATAAAAACCGTATAAATAACAAAAATAAATAACTGTTTTCTCTTAGTCTTATTAAGTGCAAACAATAAGTGCGAGTGCAACCATAATCAAAGTTAGCACACAGACTCTTTATAATTGTTGTGAAATTGCGGTTTTATTTTGCACCGGCAGTTATAGGGTTAATGCGGTGAGTTCGGAAAAGGCCGAGAGAAACGAGGCTGTTTGTCTCTACAGTTGTTCTTGCGTTCCGATTATAAGTTCAGAAACGGAGCCTCCCTTGTCTGTTGTCCTTTGTACGCTACAGTGCTCTCTCAATATTCGCAGTGCCAACAGAGACCAGAGCCGCAAATAAACAGTCCAGAGATGGGTATTGGGAGACGGATTATTTTATGTATGCAGCCTAATTTGTGCGCAATGCACATCAGGGAGCTTGTGTTTTACTTTCACTTACAAATTCGTGACCGCGCGTATAGGGAGCAGCGGTGCTGAGCGCGCATTCTACAAGATAAGACATTTACCAGACGTTTAGTCTGTTGCGCAACGAATCCTCCGCCATCGTCACGCGATCAGTGAACTGTGATTCGTGCCGCACTGATTGCAACGGCAACTCGCGCTGGATGAGCAGAGCAGACTTTTGCATTAGTTTATAATGGTTTTTATTTTTTTATAAAAACAACAAAACGATACTTTAGGCGAATGTGAGTGTAGCGGTGGAATATTAATGGGGATATCGCGAGACAGCTTTTTCACTCGACGAGAAATCTCGTCATATTTAGTCTCGCGAGATCTCGTGGCACGAGATCTCGTCACACCCCTAATTAATAGGTAATCTTCATTGCCATTTAAGTGAAATTACTGAACTTAAATATACAAGCTTGATAAAAATAAAGAAAATTTCAAATGGCTTTTGCATCTGAACTCTTCATATATTTAAATGTTATTTTTAATGTGATGACCAAAACATTATTTGTTCATCCTTCAAAGATGACACCCATTTATAAACCTGAAAGTTTCAAGATGTAGGAAAACTCACACTTATTTAAAAAATATTTTTTCTTTTAACAAATAGGAAATTTCTCTGGCATTTCTTTTTGCTGTATCGAAAACGTACCGAACCGTGACTTTAAAACCGAGGTACGTACCGAACCGTGATTTTTGTGTACCGTTACACCCCTACTGACTGGTGTTGTGTGTGTGTGTTGTAGGTCTGTGAGTCTGACGTCTCTCTACAGTCTCCTGAAGGCCCGACTGTGTCCGTATTTCTACCTGTGCTCGTATCAGTTCACGGTGTTGTTCCGAGCGGCGGGTCTGAGCGGCTCTAAAGGCATCACTGCACTACTGTCCCCCACCACTAGAGGCCTGAGAGAGGCCATGAGGGCTGACGGTGAGTCACGGACCATTAAAACAAGTCTTCATGTTTTGCTATTGTTTACCCAATGCCATATTCTGTAGATTAGGAGGCTTAGATTTTCGAGAAGTTGTTTTCATGGACAAGCGGTTTGATAGAGCCATTGCTTTTGTTTCGGATTTATTAAAAAAAAATATATAAGAGTGTATTCCAGTATAAAGATTTTATGATTTTTGTGTAATTTTCCTCCATCATCAATGCGCTTGTCACCAAGTTATGTACTCTTACTTTAAGCACAATTACCGGTATGTGGAAAAAAATTATACCCAAACTTTTTTATTGGCATTTGCTTTCTTTATAATTTCATATATATATATAAAATAGAAATGTAAAGCAATTACTACATGCGATATAGTCTACGTGTCTTCTAATTTTTTTTTTTTTTTTTACAATATTCACTGAAAAATTGCATTTTTACTGCATTTCAAACTAAATAAGATAAGTACATAAGATGCAGATTTTGAATTAATTTGTGTTCTGAACGTCTGAGGAAGAATCTTTGCTTTATTTTGAAACTTTTGCATTTATTAATCAGATACTTTAGGGAGAATTTGTCGTCTTTCATAATATGTGACCATGCTGTTGAACTTATTGCTTACAAAAACTACTTTCTCAACACATTATTTTATGTCCGGCTGAAAATTCCCACACAAGTTTATAGAACGAAACAATTATAGAACGAATTAACACATGTCTTCAGCACTACGATCTTAAGACTGAGGTTTCCTTTGCCTAGCCCTTTGTACTTTTTCTACCCTTTGTTTTTCAAACGTTTGTAATGGTAAAGAAAACATGTTAATAAGGCAAGATCCATTCAGAGAAGATGGAAAATAGTTTGTGGCTAAATTTTTTTATTAAAAATGATAGTAAATATAAAAATAATAGTTAAATTAATAGCAGCTGCTTACTAGTGTCTGCCTTTAGGCAAAGCAAGTTTATTTATATAGCACATTTCATACACTATGGCAATTCAAAGTGCTTTACAAAGAAAGGAGTTAAAATAATCACAAAATAAAAGCAAGGAAAATTAAAACATGAAATATGATGGTTATAAAAAGAATTAAAAGTGATATATGATACAGTTATAAAAGGAATTAACCCTTTAGGCGCCAGAGGTTTTTTCCTAAAACTTTCGATTTTGACATGTTAATTTCAAAAGGCTATATCTTAAAAGTGATAAAAGATAGAGACTTTCTGTAAATTAGAGAAATATTAAGGATGACCCAAAGTTTATGTGGGGATTACATTTTCCCATCTAATTTGCATATTATGACGTCATATGGTGGCGGCAATCTTGGATTATAGAATTTTCATGAAAAGTCACGTGTTTAAATGATAAAATGCAGCACTTCTTTCCCCCCAAAATGCCCCTCACCTTCTGTATGCTATATTGCACAATACTGAATGCTTAGGTATATAGTTAGTAGTAAACAAACTGTGTAAATCATTACTAATAAATGGTAGAAACAAACCGAATGCATGTAGTGGTTGGCCTTTTGCTGTAGAGATTTTCCATTTACTAAATACAGTAGGCACTCTGATTCCATGTATGGGGCACATATATGCGCTCTAACTTAGGGGTGTGCGATATCACGGTTTTTGATCGTGGACGATTAAAATGTCTCCACGATCTGCTTTTGAAGAAATATCGTAGTATCGTGCATTTTATCAGTTGCAGTTCTGGCGCCGAGCTCCGTCTCAACATACATTAAATGTTAACGCAGAGGAACGGGACACTGCAGTTCACAGAAGTTCATTATTTGCATGTGCTTTAAAGCCTTGCTGGTTAAACATGTAATTCACGTGCTGATGCGCTGTTCTGACGTTAGCTTTCTGAGCGCATACACCCGAAGCACACGGGCACTAAAAGCCTGTCTAACAGCGTCTGTTTACTGGACTACGTTATAAGTTATCTTTCGAGTCTTATTGCGCTAATATTGTCAAATACACACAAGGTTTACATAAACAAAGTTGGTTATGTCTAAAGTGAAAGCAAACAGAAAAAAAAAGAGAGAAAATCTGCTTGTCAAATGCGTGTATATTAGACGCGTCGCGTGCAGCTCTTAAAGCGACAGTAGCCAGTTAGTAAACAAGCTGCCTCTTGTCCTTAAAGAGATAGTTCACCCAAAAATAAAAATGCTGTCATTATTTACTCACTCTAATGTTGTTCCAAACCTGTATTAATTTCTTTCTTCTGTTGAAAATAAAAGTTATTTGGAAGAATGTGGCTAACCAAACAGTTGCTGGTCCCCATTGACTTCCATAGTAGGAAAACATATATACTATGGAAGTCACTGGAGTACAGCAACTGTTTGGTTAGCCACATTCTTCCAAATAACTTTTATTTTCAACAGAAGAAAGAAACTTATTCGGGTTTAAAACAACTTGAGAGAGTAAATGATGACAATTACAATGTTTGGGAGAACTATCCCTTTAATCTTAACCCTTGTAATCTGTTCGAATTCTGTGCACACCCCGTCTGGTCCGGGTCAAATTGACCCTAATTGGATTCAATACAATTCCTCGAAAATCACACTATGAAAAACAACAAAGATTTAGATACAAACTGTAAACTTTTGATATCAACATTTGTCAAACATTACAAAACAATATATCTGAAAATATGATTCATGAAAAAAAAAATTAACCATTTTTTAAAACCGTTTTATTTTGACAAAATTTGAAAATAAACAGTATACTTTTTTGCATATATTTTACATTTAAATTTTTTTTTTTTTTTTTTTTTTTTTACGTTTTATGCTTTGAACATCACAACTGAACAATTAAATTTAGATGTATAATGAAAATGTTTAATTTTCCTAAGTTAACTTTCCCTAGTTTCCTAAGACCTAGTTCCCTATAGTTTCCCTAGTTTCATTCATTTTCTGTATCTTCAACAACATTTTCCTCAATCTCTGAAGCATCCTCTAACTCTGAAACATCTTCATCTGTATCAGTATCACAGTCAAAAACCTGTGAAATTACTTATTTTACTGTCAATCTTTGGGAGCTAATTTTTTCTGCTTTCTATGTTGAAGTCTCGTGCCACACTGAGCAAAATTGTGGGAAAGCTCATTATTCACTCACAGGGGAGTGAGAAACCAAACATAACAAAAACTTTCATATAATAAATGTTTTTTTTTTATTAATTGTTTGGCTCTGTAATGCTGCATTTGAAAATCCTACATAAAAGTTTTGGTTAAAAGCTAGGTATTTCAGATGAATATAGAAATGAGAGCTTATTTTACTATCTGTGTCTGACAGATTTTCATCTGTAATTTGCATAATTTGCAAAACAAATTATAAAAAATTAAACTGTCATTTTAGCTTTTTCAAGTGTGTTTGGTTAGGGTTAGAGCACTTTTAGATACACTTGCACGTTAGAACTGGAGTTGAAGTGCCCTGACATACAGTGTCTGTACAGTTGCTTTTGAATGGCTGCCTATGAGGGTCAAATTGACCCGCGAACAGCACGAACGTAACAGTAGTTTTGTTTGTATATGTCAAAACACATCAGCATGTTGAAACTTTGCATGCATGTTCATCATGATAAATGATAAAAAGTCACAAAATATCAAGAAAAAAAACAAATGTTAACCAGTATTTCCAACAACTAGAAAATGTAAACGGGTCAAATTGACCCGCAACATAACACAAGGGTTAAAACAACAAAACACAAAGAGGAAATCACTCACTGCTCTTGACTGAGAACTTTAGTAGTAGCTTTAATAATAATCAACGTATAATTTATACAGTGAAGTCTATGTTGTGTTTTATTTTCGTATTTGTTAATTTAGCCTAATTACTTTCTTCAGTGCTACTGTTAAATACCCCTACTGTAGCTGAAAAAATAAAGCACTGTTTATTTCATTTGTATATTAAGTTGTGTATGCTTGATGTGTATCTTTGTTCCTAATTCTTAATAACAAAGAAAATAATGATAAAGATTTTTATCTACGCCACTTTGGCCTAAATGTCTGCCATTCTTTTTTCTTTTGTTACCTATAAGGCTTTTTTTTTTTTTAAATAGGGACATTAGTTTGGCTGTAATTCTCAGTCACTTAAAAAATAGTAAAACCAACATGAAAAAGAATCGTGATAAAATCGTTAATCGTGATTTTCCTGAAAAAAATCGTGATATGATATTTTTGCCATATCGCCCACCCCTACTCTAACTCGAACATTTTGTATAGAAACATGACGTTTTTTTGATTCAGGGATGAAGTATGAAGATGTCTGCCATCCAGTGGAGGGGAGGTTGAACGAAATTTGACACCCAATTTGACAAAATCGGCCGTTTTATTCAGTGCCACATCTTGTCGAGTAAACCCGATCGTGGCGCCTAGAGGGTTAAGAGAGTCGAAAGATGATACATGGATAAACTTCTCTTCTGGCTAAAACCAGTGTATCATATTTTTTTCAAACTCTACTGTGAGAGTTTCCCATGGTGATTACACTGTGTCTGTGGTGAAATCTATTGGACGTCTCCGATGGACCCGATTTTGTTCTTTACCTGTGCGAGTGACGTATTGTTTCCTGAAGTACATCAAGCACTTGCAGACAGCTGTGTATGGAAACGTCCAGGGTTCCCGCGGATCCTTAAAAAGTCTTAAAAAGTCTTAAATTAGATTTTTAAAATTTAAGACCATAAAAAGTCTTATAAAGTCTTATTTTTACTTATGAAAGGTCTTAAATTTTAGATGACACTTTGACTTAGACATATCTAAAAGCTTTCCAAATTAAAACTATCTAATTAGCGTACGTATTTTTATTTATTTATTATTCTATCTTTGTGGATTTGCTAGTTCACGTGACATTTCGCGTCACTCGCGAGTCGCGGCAGCATAACTGTCTCCTGCACGCGAGAGGAGAGAAGGAGAAGAAAGGTCGTAAATGTCAGTTCAGTTGTAAGTTCATTCTTTATGTGCGTATGGTGTGCGATGTGTATTGTCTATTATGATATTGTAATCATTGTTTTAACAATGTACGAGGCACTGCGAGCTGACATCGCATTTGTCTCGTGCTTTCACTGCGTGATGTGTGCAGTGCAACTGTTATGTCCCCAAGTTAGTTTTTGTCTTATATTTATATCATATTATGTTCTTATATTAGAATATCACATCAGAAAGAGTGCCGTTTTCCCGTGCACAATTCCAAGTGTGATATTTATGTTATACAACTGTTAAATTAACAATAAGTTAACATTGTAACTACTTTTTAGACACAATATTGTTAATATTGTTTGTTTTCCCTTTATTTCGCCGACTATAATTTCAAAATGAAACCGTAGCAGAGTCTCAATGCAACCGACAGCGATTATTTCTTGACTGAAATCCGCGTTTTGAACGAATCACTTGCTTCTTTCCCGAATGAATCAGCCGTTTGAACGAATCACTTGCTTCTTTCCCGAATGAATCAGCCGTTTGAACGAATCACTTGCTTCTTTCCCGAATGAATCAGCCGTTTGAACGAATCGGTTGAATGAATGACTCCCTCAACTCACTTAAGACAGTGATTTGCCGCTGCGGTTTCATATTTAAAGTACCCTTTAAATAAAATGTTAAAATTAGAAATCATTTCATATTTAAATATTGAATATTGATTTAAAAATATATATCTCATAGCTTTATTTATGCAGTTGTAAATGGAGTGTAAATATATTAATGCCACTTCTGATGCCGCTTCTGTCACCTCTGCACTGCAAAGATGGATTTTGATTGAATGATTTAATTTGACTGTAACAGTGGTACTGTATGATTATTATATAATTAAGTATTATTGTATAATTACTGTATAATTTAATTTGAATGATAGTATTTGACATTAAAGGTGATGCATAACTCTAAATAAGTTTAGAAAAAATGTCCATATATAGGTGAAAATGCCCCTGAAAAAATCAATTTAAGGTGGCAAATATTGCCCCGTAATCAAAATATTAATTTCTGTCACTGCTGTGAACCGACCACTGCATAGAATATGAAAAATATGAATATCTTCGTGAGTCAGCAAGGCACCAGCACAAAAACACAATCAGTAAAATATCATCTAATTATTATCAACAAAACGTTGAAAATATCAAGATATATTTGTCAATACTGCACAGCCCTAATGTACGGTATTAATTTTGATTTCTTAAGGTCTTAAAAAGGTCTTAAAAAGCCTTAAATTTGACTTTCAAAAGTGTGCAGGAACCCTGACGTCACGTGTGTGTTCTGCTTGTGTTCAGGGATAGAGTTCTCCCTCCCTCTGCTGGAGGAGCGGAGGAAAAGCAAAGATCTCGGCGAGAGCGCTCATCAGACGGACAGCGCTGTGTGAGTACAGGACCACCGACAACACATTCAATCCATGTTTATTTGAGTTGCGCTTTCACAACACACATCGTTTCAAAGCAGCTTCACAGAAAATGCATGAGTCCACATTACAGTTTACAGTGATCTGTTATCAGAGGAAACTGTCTAAGTTATGCATTTCAGAAATGTACATACACACAACCACAGTTAGCTAAACATTTATTAATTTAAACAATGTAATAATTTAGGTTGAATTAATGAGCCCATTGAAGAAATTAATATTATTTGTTAACAAATGATTGACATTTAGAAGTGTTGATTCAGAGTTTGCTTCATCTGAAGTCTTGCTTTAATCAGATGCGCTTTGAATTAGGGCTAAAAAATAGATTTTTCCATTAATCACTTTTTTAAATTGTGGTCGATTCTCAAAGGCCACGGATAGATTTTTGTCCATACTTATGTATCCATCACCCAAAAGCCAGTATTAGTTTTCCTCCACTGTTCATAGGCTTGAGCCTCTGTTACAATGAATGCGGTGAGATTTGATGTTTGCTTTATCTTAAACACAAGATCACCTGATCCTGTTTGATCAAGGCATGCCACTGTTCTGTAGCCTGGGAAAACCCAGACAACTTCCGGCAAATTTAGATTTGCTCTGAAAGTTAGTCTGGCAAAGAGCTCATTCAAGCCCATTTCCAATCCGCCGAAATCGAGGCACCAATCAGAAGCGTTGGGGCGGCTTTACACGATGACGACAGCGCTGGGATTTTGAAGCAGATTTTGTAGCCTACATTACAGAGATGGATGCCGCCGTCGAACATCACTCGTTCCAATCAGCGATCGCGTCTGTTTTAAGCCATTTGAACGTTTCCTTTTTGTTAAAAACCGAGCAAAGAACAACACTCACAACCGCTCTGCATACGTCATCTCCTTCATCGCTGTGATTGGGTTTAGGTCTATCCGCGACGTCCGTTGGTGACGCCCCTCTGGAAATGATTTGTCTATGACGCTTTGCCAGACCATAACTCAGTTACAACTGAGAATGCTCTGGTTTTAACCAGGCTAACTGTTCTGACTTGGCCAATTTTCAGCATAAATCTTAAAAAAAGCATAAATCTTGCATCAAAATCCTGTCTATTCATTGTATGCATTTGAAATATAGAGTTGGGTGCTGTTTTAATGTACCTAAAATAAAAAGAGTTTAATATACAGGTTTGTGGCTCTTAATTTCTTTTTATTAATTAACCATTTGTAAACTTATGTTGTAACACTGTTCTTTTTTTATAAATATAGGGTTTGTATTAAATCTATATTCAATGAGTCGAATCGGGAATCGAAAATCGAGTTTAGAATCGAAATAAAATCGAATTGGAACATCTGAATTAGGCTTATGCCGGTATCAAATTTTCATGCTGCGATTAATTAATTGAGTTTTTATTACGGTATACGGTATTATCACGATATTTACTGTTTGTATTATTATTGCTTGACACAATTTTCACGATTTCAATTCAATTCTTGGATTTGATTTCAATCTTGATTCAATATTGACTCATTTGGATAAATATTAGGGAGGCTACAGTAGATTAGTGTTGTCAAAAATATCGATATTTCGATAAATATCGATACTGAAATATCTGAACGGTACCAATACTAATTTCCCGAAGTATCGATACTAGCCGAGCGGTCACTTTCACTTCTCTCCAAAGGCGCGTTGACAAACACCACACGTGACGCACTCGTCTCATTCGCTCTGGTTAAATAGCAGAAGTGAATGGAAAGATTGCAAGGGTGGCGCCACCCGCGACCGGCTTTGGTTGATGTCGGAGAATAGCGCGCACACGCATAAAAAACACACCGCGAGCAGGCATGTCGGAGAATACGCGGACACGCGCTTCACACTGTGAGCGTGCTGCGGGCACCCAAAAGATTGTTTGACTATCAATAATCCCTCACATCACTCATTTTTTAAAATTATTTTATAGGTGAAAACAGACTTAAGGAACAGGCTCCAGGGGTACCATTTAGCAGCATATATGCTCCGCATCAGGGGTGTTTGTTATTTGGACAGACCTGCCCCCACTGCTAAAAAAATCCTAAAAGAAACACTGTAACTCTTCTTATTTTAACTTTTCTGAAACATTAACCAAGATGGCCTAGTATTGTTGTTGATATGAGTCTGTGTTGTCTAGTATTTTCACCGTTTTCTTAAAGTTAACATAATCTGACTGAGGAATCTTAGACAAGTAAATATTGTTGTGGTCAAATGTAAATTAGCTTGTGCCTATTTAACTTTATTCAAAAATTATTATTTAATTCTGCGATTTTCCTTCATTAGCGATTATCATCAATTTGATTACACAGATACTAATTTAACTAAACAGCTAGACAATGGCATCTCTGAATTCAATAATGACATGCCTTTAACTGAAAATTGAATGTTTAATCTTATTATTTATTATACATTACTGACTCTCTATCCTCCAATTTGATACTGTTAAGTGCTTTTTTGTTACAGTATATTTTAATCTTTGATAACAGTAGGTAATAAAAATACAACGGATCATGTAAGCTCTGGTCCAATTAAAAAATATTAACAAATAGAACTCGGGACTTTTTTGTTCATGTAAAATATACCTCATTGTCATGTTCTAGACTTGTTATATTTAGCTTTAAATACAAAAAATACCCCCTTAATATTGTGGCAATTTTTTTCTCTGTGGTATCGAAAATGGTATCGAATATCGATATTTTTCAAGGTATCGTATCGAAGTTAGAAATTCTAGTATCGTGACAACACTACAGTAGATAGCCTGCATGTTAATTTTTCTCAAGAAAAAATATATCTCACATAATGCTGTAAACATATAGAGAGAAATTAAATATAATGCAGTTTTCATTATAATAACAATTATGTAATGACATTCTGAATCGATACCCAGCCCTACTTTGAATATTGATCGATGTATTTGTCATCTTTCCTTCTTCCAGATTGAGTGAGCACAGTGAAAACGAGGAGGATGATGATGATGATGACGATGATGATGGGGGATTTTCTTGGCTAAAGGAGATGGGCGTCCAAGACAAGATCAAGAAACCAGATTCCATTTCTATCAAACTGTATCCTTACAGCTCTTTATATAAACGTGTATGTGCAACTTTAATGCATGCATACATACAGGATATACACATGTAAAGCGATACACAGTGATGAACTTTTTTGATCAAATGTTGACTAAAGTTATCCTAAGACAAGAACGGGTATTGTTCAAAATTCATGTATAACTTTGATGAAAGGTTTTGATCCACTCCAAATGTTGACTACTGTATACTATATAGGAAATCTTCTAATGATTCAATGAGAATGAACCTCATTGGTCCTTGTGGAGCTCAAACGTGTTGTAGGGGTGGGCGATATGAGCAAAAATTCATATCACGATATTTTTCACTGCCCGGACGATATCGATATTATATCGCGATATGAGAAAAAAAAATTGGAATCACATTTTAGTACACCTTAGTTAAATTACAGGCAAAATATGTATTTTAACACTAGATAACTAGAAAAAGGTGAGGCATTTCATTGGACATTTTTTTTTTGTGCCATTTTTTTTCTCAAAAAGTGCAAACGTGCAACATGAGGTAGGCCTGAATGCACTTGTTATGTCTTTCCACTTTTTGCTCGTCTTGTCATAATGAGAACCGGCAGCGAATGAAGACTTCATTGATTTCTGAGTGAGAGCCGTCTTCGGGTGTGCTCTGTCTCCGGGAATATCTGTTATAGTTTTGCTTTTTTAAATTAGTTTTTATTTTAATATCGTTTACAATTTTGCTTTAAATTTCAGTTTAGTTTTAGCTAGTTTCATTAATGGTTTTGTTAGTTTTTATTTATTTTTTATTTTGCAAACACATTTCTATATAGTTTTTATTGTATTTAGTTTCAGCTTTAGTAATTATAGTTTAGCTTTAGCAGAGCGAGCAGAACACTTCCAGTGTAGACCAAAGCGAGACGTTTAATTTAAGTTTAATGTTTGCACAGATTACAGTTAACTCTTATGCAGACATCTTAATAATACAAATAAAATAATGGTTTGAGATTGAACAAAGCACCAAATAAATACTTAAAAGTATACAAGAAAAAAACAATGAAAATTTTCATACAAACTAATTCATTAGTGTAAGGAGACAGAATAAAGGCCTACAGTTTGTACAGTATAAAACCCATGACGTCTATGGAGAGTCTCCACAAAGATAGTGGACCAGTGTGTGTGTATGCGCGCGCTTATGTGTGTGTCGTGTCCTGTTATTCATAGCCTAACGTTACATTGCGGGGAAATGTCTCCACGTGGATAATATTATTAGCAGTAAATGATTAGTAAAAACAAAGATAATAATAGCAGCTTTCAACCTTCATGAAAACATGATCTCAAACATACAGTAGCCTGGAACTGTAACGTTTTTGTGCTTGACGAACTTGTTTTGGTGTTGCACCCGCGTCTCGCAAATGAAACGGCATTCTAAAAATGCTGCGCTCCAGTTAAAAGTCAAACTTGCGTCTCATTACCTTGTTATTTCCCATTCCACCGCAAAAGATGCATCCTTTATGAACAGCCGCTTAGCACTAGCGATGTGTTCTACGTTACGGTCCTTCATTGAACGCGTCACAGGACAGCGGTTAATCGCCTCAGCAACTTCACGCGTATGAAGCGCCAAATCAGCCACTTCCTTAAACAGCGTATTCGATTCTGTATCGTCATTAGTGTTAGTTGTAAAGAGTTGGCTACCAAATTGAACAAAACAATATAACTGCAAAATTTGAATTTATGAATACGGTATCCTCAGTATCGCAAAATCCATATCATGGCACAACATAATACCGGTATTCACGTTCATACCGGTATAGCGCCCACCCCTAACGTGTTGCATAACACAAGAATGAACCTCATTGGTTCTCGCACGTCAACGGAACCGTTTATCACAACTAATGTGTGAGTTGATGAATGTTTATATGTGAATAAAAGCCTAAATTCAATCTGTCTGTACAAGAATTGAAACGATGCACAGTAATGGATTGTGTGAATGTCAAAACTTGGCTAAACCGTTATTAATTACCAGACAATGTTGGAAACATGTTCATAGGTGAAACACTGTGTGGTGATGTACTTCCCTTAAGTGGTGCATCAGTCGTAAGGAGCACCGAGAGGTGTGTTTGGACCACAGACCAGAGTCCGTGGTGTTGGTGGAGGGTTCGAACACCTTCACGCTGATCAACTTCCTCATTAACTGTAAGAGTTTGGTGGCAGGAGCCAGTTCTCAGGCGGGTCTTCCTCCAACACTCCTGGCCCCGACAGCCTTCAGAGGGGCCACACTGCACACACTCAAGGTACGCCCGCATGTGTGTGTGTTACTGATTGTTGGCCTCACTGATTCATACTGTAACACTTTCCCTCTTCAATTAATGCTGGGGTGCCAGACAGATATA